AAATAATTCCAAATAGACCGCAGCCATTGGAATAATTTTTAGATCAAAATCATTTATATCAAAACCTCATTTTATAATAAAATAACAATTTTCATCAAATCACAAAGTATCTCATCTGGTCAACAAATCYGGTCAACATATCGTCCGGTTTAACACTTGGAATAAAACCAAACTTGTCCGGATAACAAATCCGGTCAACAAATAAACTCATCTTTGTCCGGATATCTAATCCGATCAACAATATCATTCAATCTTTATCCGGATATCTAATCCGATCAACAATATCATTCAATCTTTATCCGGATATCTAATCCGGTCAACAATATCATTCAATCTTTATCCGGATATCTAATCCGATCAACAATATCATTCAATCTTTATCCGGATATCTAATCCGGTCAATCATACCACATATTGTTATACAGATTTCATCACTTAGAATAATTTCAAGTTTGTCCGGATAACAAATCCGGACACTAGTCCGCTCATGCCTTGTCCGGTTTAATAATAAACCGGTCACCAAATAATCATATTCCTAAGTGTAAAAACACATTTYATTATAATTAAACCGYTCATAACTCAACCGGTTAACAACTCCGGACAACAAACCGCTCAAGGTTTGTCCGGTATACCAATCCGGTCACTCAAACCGCTTAAGACTCGTACGGTTTACACTTATCCGGACACTAAACCTCACAAGGCTTATCCGGTTTAAACCCCTTATCCGGTCAAGCTTTGTCCGGATAAACACTTAGACAAATATTTAGCAAAATTCTTTTCAAAGAAAACTAATAGTACGAAATAAAGATTCATAACCAGTAAAAGCTTTTTATGTAAAAAGATTTAGAACCACTCACCTTTTAAAGCTTTTGAACACAAAATGCTTGCAATCAACCTTTTGAAATCAACACTTGAAAATACCTCTTGAAGCTTAACCGGACAACACTTCTAAGAACATACTCAACTTTCTAAAACTGGAAAGAAACCTCAAATGAAGGAGGAAATCTCTTATTTATAMTTTCCATKTTTGGGGAAGGTTGGCTACCGCCTTTCCCCCCTTTGCCACCTCAACACTCAAAACCTATACAATGTGCACACATGCACCTTATGTATACATACACGTAAGCCTCAATTTAACCACATAACTTATATATATATA